TAACACACATACATTTCCCAAAGTTCAGAGTGTGCATATGTGTTTGTGCATAGAGTTAAAAATGGCCTGAAGTTTCATCCCTAATGAATAAATCATTAAATTTATTAGTAAATAAATCTTAAAGGCTTCTTTGAGGGTAGGAATGTCATTTGGTCCAAGGACATTTTGTCAGTATCCATTAGAATGTAAATGTGCATTCCTTTGAGTTAGCAGATCCATTCTGTAAGGAAAATGAATACGGATTCTAATTACATATGAAAGTTTAAAAAAAATGGCTCAGTGGGGAAATGTTTAGATTATAGAAAATACATAATTAGAATTTTATCCAACATTCACAAAGAATGAGGTATACAGACTTACAAAGGAGAATGCACAGTATTGTTTGATGTGTATGTGGATATGTATGTGGGTGCGTGCTCACTTAGAAAACAGAAGACACACACTGAATGTTAAAAGTGATCCTTCCTAAGGAAGAAAACAGAAGGAATTTTTACTGTTTATTTTTAAACACTCTAAGATTGCTTTTTTAAGTGAGCATGTATTGCATTTATAATTAAACAACTTTAAGTTAACTAACATTAATATGAGGGGGGAGAGACCTCATGACAACACTATAACCTCTGGCCTTGGCCGTCAGTGAAGTGTAAGAACTACATGGAGAGAGTAACTATTACAGCAAGTAAGTCCTTAGGGGCTGTGTGAACAGAGATCTGAATATGACTGATTTGAAAGGTAAATACTCTGCATAGTTCTTGTTTATGATACATCATAATTTTCATATCTTTCATATATTTCCATATGATTAATAAATTAACCTTAATTTGCATGCTAACTTTATTTGCATAGAGATTGAGAAAATTTTATTTTAGTAATAATTCTGTGGTCACTGAGCCAGGCTCCACAAAGAGAAATCTATTCAAATACAGTTTTATACTGAGGGAAAAAGAATTTTACAAGAGTAGTCTTAATCAGGAAAATCTGTAAGTATTACTAGGACTGAAAATTAAGAGAAATCTCATATGTGTGCAGTGCCTGCCTTCTTGGGTAAATTTTACCTTCTCAATTAATGCTTATATATATATTATGTTTCTTAATTTTTATGAAAATGTAACTATAGGTGATAAAGTTCATTTGGTTATGTGTGTCAAGACCGTTGGTGCCTGTATTTGACTAGGAGCAGAAATAAAAAACAGCCCTTTCCAGGATCACTCCCATGGCTTCCGCGTCCTGAGAAAAGAAAGCTTACTTTTAGAAAGTTCTGATTAGAATAGCAACAAGCACAGCCCCACTAGTTGCTCACCATGTACACTTAGAAAAGAAAGTAACTTTATTTCCTAAAGTGGAGATGAAGGAATCATGATGTCTCCCAACTAGATGGATATCCTCTACTGTAGATCACCTGGACCAATGCTCACTTATTTTATAGATTTAAAAAGGAGAAAAAAGTAAGCTCCACAAATGTATGAGACTTGTAATCCAATGTTTTTACAGGCCTTTTTTTTTGAGGTGTAACTTGTACACAATGATTTTATACATACGGCTAATTATAAATGCTCTTGTGAAGATGCCTACAGATAAGTCACAGCCTCTATCTGCACCTATAATATCTTGTTGGGAGTGAGGACTAACTTTAGCATTTTTAAGAGGTAGACTCCACATAGGACTCTTCTCTCCAGACAGTGATGGCGCATGGCTGCTACCTTTCTGAAGAAGAACTGGATGTATTCAGGGAACGAGGAGCATCCATCTCGCATTGTCCCAATTCCAACTTGTCGTAAGTAGGCAATTACTGATTGGTAGATTATGAATGTTTGGGGTGCAAATTAGCTGCCTTTGTTTTCTCAGTCATTCCTCCAGTATCTCTCTTCCGTAGTTATATTTCACTGGGATGTGAGCTAGATAGAAGGACACTTACCAGTGCTGTGCTGGGGAGACAGGAAGTACTCAAAAGAGGCTATTTTTTGTAGAGTATGCATTTGAGGAGCACCACATCTCTTAAAATTTCTGAGTCTGCACAGAACAGAACAATAGGAAATACAACAGAAAGAGTTCAAAAACAATAGCATTCAAAACTTACAGCTAAAGATCGAAAAGGTGCATATACCAGCCAGATGTTCTAGAGAAAGCATCCCGACTTCCCATCACCTTGTGCTGTACCTACCAGAAATGTGCAAATTACCAGAAATGGTGCAGTGCCACTAGAAGCCAACACCCTTTGGTAAACGTCATGCTGGTATATCTGACGAGATGCCAGTTCATTGGGAGGGACCTTGTCCTACTGTAATTCCCCAGAATGTGAAAACTATTTATAACTGGTTCTTAACCTTCTGAAAGGTTGTAGATGTGTAAGTGAGTAAGATGAAAGCTGTGGCCTGTATCTTTAGGGGAAAAAAGCCCATAAACATAAAAATGTTGCATCTGATTTCAGGGAATTCATAGATCCCGTAATGCCAATCCATGGGTGCTGAATTAAGAACTCCTGCTGCAGGATTAGACACAGAAGGGGTCTCATTTCTGGTACTAGCTGACTCAGAACAGAGCTGCTCTCCTCAGAGGCAGATTGGGAGGAACCATTCATACATATTCATTCAATAGAGTTATTAGCTTCTGCTACATTTTCATTTTCTTGAGGATTACTTTATATCCTCTCTTGTTTTGGGTTCTTGCAGAAGCTTGTGCACAAGTAGTTTATTTGAGAGGTGATCTCAGGAAGCACCTTTAGGGAGGTAAGACAGAAGAAGGGCGCATATCATTAAGCAAGTTACCACCACGGGCTCTGGGATTGCAGCCTCCTGGAAAACTTAAGGAGACAGTGTACAAAGCAGACCTCAGAGACATCCTGCCTACAGAGGGGCAGTAGTTAGACCCAGACTTACTGGCTATTGGTGGAGGGCTGTTGGGTGTGGGCAAAGGGGCACGAAGTCCCTGGATGTTCAGACCTCCCCTAAACAAGGGCAGAGCAGGCTCTATCTGTGAGAGGGAGCCTCTAGGCAAAGAGTAGGAGGTGCTGGCAGTCAGAAGTCTAGGTACTTTGTGAATGAAAAAAATTCTATGTCAGTGGCAGTGTGGGAAAGGCACAAGAGCCACGGTGATATATTTCTGGAGTATTCTGAGAGGTTCCAGAGGCTTCCATTTTCAGACATGACAGAGAATCTTGCCTGTGTACAGCTTAGTGACCATAATTATGGTCTAGTGACCAGATGGGGAAGGATTCAACATCCTGTGGGTTAGTTACACAACATCTAAATTAAAATATTACCCAGCTTTGCCAATTGAGGTTTGAAGATAAACCTCTTTATAGATGTGTTTTGGTTTGAATAGTCACTGCTATTCTTTCTCCAACAACTTGGAGAGATTTATTGCATGTGCACTGGGACTTTGAAAATAGCGCTTACGTGCATCTTCGAACAGACCACTTTGACCTTTAAGTCTTCTCAGACTTGTACGGGTGGCTTCAATTTTTGTCTCTCTAGAGAAAGGTGGCACAACTATTGAACTCAGGGTCTTGAGATCCAATTCAGCCCAGGAACTGTCTCCCCTAGTTGTTGCTGTTCCTAGAAGCACCACTTGAACCGTAAGGCCCAGACTTACAGCCTGCACGCCCTTTTCCAGTTGTACCCTCTTTCTTTGATCTTGCAAGTCGCTTCTCATTCAGGGCAACAAATGATTCCAGAAAGAGGAAAGGTGATGCTTTGTAATTTCTACTTCCTAGCATAGAATGGATTGGCTAAAAAAATGTTAAAGACCTATACTTGATAATACTGTATCGTATAATTGAAATTTGCTAAGAGAGTAGAACTTAAATGTTCTCACAAAAAAAAAAAGAGAGAGAGAAGGTAAATATGTGAGGTGACAGATGTGCTGGTTAACTCACAATGTATATGTGTATCAAATCATCACATTCTAGCCTTTAAACATCTTACAATTTTATTTGTCATTTATACCTCAGTAAAGCTGAAAAATATGAAAAATTGATGACTTTTGAACTAACTGCAAGATTTAATTTATTTTTCCTTACAAATGATCCCTGCTCTCCTTTCTAATTCTTGCTGCTTCATACCCTCCTGATAATCTCTGCCCAAAGATTCAAGCCCCTTCATGATCCTTTTCACTCAAGGTCTCAAATGGTCTGATCTGACTAATGTCTTAGAACTGCGAGGAGGGAATCAGTTTCTGGTGAGATCCCACCCTGTCTGTCTTTCTCTTGTTGGGCCCATGCGGGTCCCCTTGTCCTCACTCTCTCCTCTCTCTGCAGGCTGAGCAGCGGCCTTCTCAATGTGCTCGAGGTCCTGAAACATGAGGTGAAGATAGGGCTGGGCACAGGTCAGTAGTCTGCCATGAAGAGCCATGGTGATTGATTAGGTGCATAACTTTTTTTTTTGCAAGGTTTATAGGCTTTTATCATTTGATACACTATATTCATCTACATATATACAATTATTATATATTCAATTTCTTCTTTTTGTATATATATATTTTTAATTGAAGTAGTTTACAACATTGTATCAATTTCTGGGTACAGCCTAATGCTTCAGTCATACACGAACATACATATATTCATTTTCATATTCTTTTTCATCTAAGTTACTACAAGATATACAAGGGAATATAGTTCCCTGTGCTATACAGTAGAAACCTGTTGTTTATCTATTTTATACATAGTAGTACCTGCAAATCTCGAACTCCCAATTTATCCCTTCTCATCCCTTTCTCCTGTGGTAACTAAGTTTGTTCTCTATGTCTGTGTGCCTGTTTCTGTATTGTAAATAAGATCATTTATCTTTTTAGATTCCAGATACAAGGGATACCATATGGTATTTTTCTTTCTCTTTCTGGCTTACTTCCTTCTCTTTACTTACTGGAATGATGATCTCCAGGTCCATCCATGTTACTGCAAGTGGCAGTATTTTATTCTTTTTTATGGCTGAGTAGTATTCCATTATGTAAATATACTACAGCTTCTTTATCCAGTCATCTGTCAATGGACATTTAGGTTGTTTTCATGTGCTGGCTATTGTAAATAGTGCTGCTATGAACATTGGGGTACATGTATCTTTTCAAGTTATAATTCACTTCAGATATATGCCCAGGAGTGGGATTGCTGGATCATATGGTAGCTCTATTTTTAGTTTTTTAAGGAAACTCCATACTGTTCTCCATAGTGGCTGCACCAATTTACATTCCCACCAACAGCGTAAAAGAGTCCCCCCTTTTCTCCACAACCTCTCTAGCATTTGTCATTTGTGGACTTTTGAATGATGGCCATTCTGACTGGTGTACACACACACA